TGATAGTCAACCAGAAAAATGGAGTTCGATTGCAAAACCAGGTAGCCGTCAATAAAGCAATGAGCAGATCTCAGCGCCTGTAGTCGTGGCAACATACACACGAATATCGGTCGCACCAGTCCATCAGAAGCTCCAGCGAGTGCTGACGTGGAATTCTAAAGCTTGGGAAGCATGAGGCAGTCCCAATCAATGATGTGGGTGGACGATTACTCGAGCGATGCTACAATGTCTTCACGCATTAGTGGGGACCGACCGAGCGCCCCCATTTGCTAGAACAGGAGGTCCATTGAGCACCTATGTCGCGCCTGGAGCGTCAAAAAGCTTGAGGATTCGTACGCCGGGGACCGATAACATGTTCAAGATTAGTAGCAGGCAATGTTTCGCCGCTGAACTCATCGGCGTTGTCAAGCTCGCTGCTCTCGTCACCTTCTTCTTCTCTCTATAGTGGTCAAAGCTACGAAACACTGGATTTTGAGGCATTCAAAAGCGTCAAGTCAACGGTGCTTGGAGCCGTCCTTACACACGGTTCCAGCCGCTCCATTGGCAGCGACTACTCTTCCGGCCGCTTTGAAGACACGGAGCGTTTTGGGTCAAGTGGTCTTGATTTGGAAACGGCAAAACAGCGGGGAATGATTGTGCAATGACGCCGAGAGGGCAGATCAGGTGGATATTGTCACTTTTTTGGACCGTGCCACGACTCCGTCGAATTTTGAGCCAATGATGAGACGACAAGCAGCAGGATTTGTTTTATTGAACAAGTGTCCATCTACGTGGCTAAGATGGTATCGAAGAATTAGTAGTGAGGTATTCAAGGCACACGTCATATCGCGCTGGAGTCGAGCTTTGAAAGGTGGGATAAAAACAGTCCAATACCAGAGCAGCAATGCCTTACGTGTTTAGTTCTTGACGGATTGGTTAGCAGTTTGAGTTCACAGCTATTTTCTACTTTCAGTAGAGCGTGCACTGCCTGAAAATGTAGAAAGCGGTTTAGCAGGCTGCTGAGAACTGCTAAGTTCTGCACAAACTGTGATCTCTATCATCTTGGTCAACGTCTGTCAAAGTCTCAATCTGTCGTTTTTGTAGTTGCTGCAGCGATTCCTATTATTTATTCCCTCAACGGTAGTCAACGTATTTGGAGAAAGTAAGTGCCTTCACTTTGTTAGCATAATCAATTATACAAGTCCTCGCGCAACTACGATGAATATCGGTTCGCGATGCGAGTGGCTTTGCCACCGTTTTCACGCTGATGCAAAATATGACATTGACGGCGCAGAGGGCGTCTATGCTACCAATCGCGTTAGCTGCGAGTAGCTTACGTAACCATTCGGTGCAAGATAAGTCTCTTCTTTCCAACCGGCACAGTATCGTGTCTATCTCTTTGGAGATAGACCGCTTATTATTATAATGGACCATGAGAGATGCAGACTCTTCACTATTGTGCGTAATGAACGGCTGTAAAAAGTTCAGTTTGCAGAGAATGGCAAGATAAATGTTGCAAAGAATATAGGTGCAGCGCCGACAGTCAAAGGGCAACCTGTTTGTTATCAATTATACAATTTTGCAACGACTACATGTTGACGTTCGTGATATGAAATTTGACTGAAATGTTGCGCTCAAGGACGATCGACACGGACGGACAAAGGGAGCGAAGAAGTAGAAAAGCTGCGATACCATGCAATGTAACAGGAAATGGACAACAAGCTGCGAAGATGTGGGCCATACAATATATATTTCGTCAAATGCAGCTCAGAAAGACAACACATTGGGAGAGGTAATCACGATATCTACGCCTGTCGAACCTATTCTATACAAGATTGTGGACGTCAATGATCTTCTTTTTGAGCCATATAACTTCCTTATCAACTGCAATGCCGTCTTAGGTCTGAATGAGATTGAGCTGATGTACGTTAACAAATTGCCGATCACGGTGGTAATACGTGCTGAGAAAATTACGTGGCTTCATCTTTTGCTGGATCTGCTGGTCCAGACCCGTTGCGGCTGCTTGTGCTTTTAGTCTAAAGAAATGCTGCTGTCAATGTTCAAGTCTTCTTTGCACCATGTCACGGCAATGATTGCTTTACTATGTTCGGCCGACTCTGCGCTATGATCAGGGGTAATCTACCCTTCCTAAGCAATGTTGGCGACCACTCGGCCAATGCTTCGCGCATATATCACTCCATTGGCCGACTTATTTGCCACCAGCAGTCCATTCATTCATCGGTATATCGCCTGCGATGCAATCACAACAAAAGTGTGCGATTATCGACAGTCACGTCCGGACGCTAATTGACCACTTTGTCATCATCGCTAGCTTAATGGATCCTGCACCTAAGCACAATACTCCCTAATTACAAAGCAAGCTTCTCCAGTTCACGTCCATATCACCCGCGTCCAAGCAGGTGTAAACCATAGCACTGTTCAATTTGCTTTATGAACGTTTGGCCTTTGCGGTCAGCGACTTGGTGTACATGCGAATTAGCGACGCAATCATCGTGAATGCCGACATGCCCACAATTGCAGCAGTCTTCCACCACGCGTGATCATTCGCGCGTTTGACGTCCTCGACCAAGCAGCCTTCAGGAAAAACAACGCCATCTACCATAATATCCTCAATAACACCCTTCTCACTCTCCTTGCAACGTTGAATCGCCTCCGACGAGCTAAGCGACAGAAAGCTGTAGAGCAGCAAACATATCGTAGCCAGAACGAAGGCAACACGCTTGCCAAACTGCGCAAAGTCCAACTGACGGTCAAAACTGGTGCCGGCATGACGGTAAAGCACAACTCGCAGCTTTGCTACAGACATATGCGCGTGCGAGCCCTCGTCACAAATAGGTAGACAGCATAATTCAGATGATGAAGACACTATAATTTGCCACGTTCGACCGTAAGTGAACGTCATCGAGTGCTGTAGCAATCAGTGCATATGGTTAGTTACAGTGCAAAAACTGATTGGTTCACCATAGACTCTCGTATTATCATTCACACAAACAGCTAGTTAGATTCACCTTTTAGAGCTTGAGCGATCTTGGCCTCTTTGTCTTGAACTCCTTCGTAAACGTTGTAGAGTCGCGTGACCTTATCGACCACCACGTTCTTCATCTGCACCCCACGTTACTTTCATAAATCACGACTTTTCGCTTCGTAGTAAGTGTTTCACTCGTCTTCGTCAGTGCTTCGTGCTCCAACTTAGGTTGAGGGAGACACAGAAGGTGTCGTGCGGTACAACAACACCTTCATCTTGCTCCGCCTTGCTAAACAATAGTACACATGTTCCTTTGCGCTATAGTATTAACATATACAAGCAAAAGGTAAGATCTCATAGCTTAAAACGATGATTCGTTTCTCAGTGATGACAAACACATATGCGTACGTAGCGAAGATCGACGGCAAAGTCCCTGCCTACAAGAATGTGCCACCCTGGACCCATTGGCGACTCCAGACGTCGCTTTTATCTCTGCAGCAAAATTACGTATATTTGATGTCCTTCTAGCTGCATCGTTTACCGTCGATTTTGCAGCAACTTGGTTCGTGATAGACGCCACCGGAGATTTGGACACTTGAAAGTCGGCGCCGTAAAAGACCATTGTAAAATTTGGCTTTGTTTTTGCACACTATAAAATTGACACGCATCTGATGGGTACATTACATAGATGGCTACAGAACCGAATGATTGTGTGTCACATGTTTAAGTAATAGTTTAGTATGTATTATACACATCGATATCTATGCTGTCACCGGAGCATGGTAAGGTATACATAGCAATCAGCCATGCGCGCCATATGGATTTGACAATATCATTTTGGCGCGAAAGGCACAGAAAAGCCGACGACAACTTGGTAAAGACCAAGCTAAGAAATATCTGTATTCAATGCCATCGTTAATATACGACTCCGCAAATTGTTTCCAATATCTTTTGAGTGTAGCTAACCTCATGACATAAAAATTGGCGCGTCTTTTGAAAGATATGCACCTCAACACACAAGAAAGAATCACCACGTTTTGGACCAGTGAGTGATACTTATGAACCCTACAGCTAAAGTCGTTGTTGTTGCATTAGAAGGTTGCCACGGTATGTTTGTTTCTCTTCATGAACTATCCAACGCCACTTGGTCTTTCTTTAATCATTTTGATTGTATCCTTTTCTTCATGCACAACAAAAATTGCAATAAAAAATCTTCAGGTTGTGGCAAAACCACTTTATGCAAAGAGTTTCAAGTACAGGGTTATGACATTCTAAATGAAGCATTTGTGGATATGCCAATGTATGCACTTCATCCACAGTCTCTTCTTATGGAGACGTCGTGGGTTTGTTCTTGGTTTGAGCGTGTCTTGCGCCTTGCAAGATATGTGAAGCCTGGTTCCAAACAGGTTTTTATTGCTGATCGCTCGCCCTTTAGTGCCGTGCTCTACTCTGCCAACGGTCACTTGCTGGAGCCTATTATACGAGAACAAATGAAAGAAGTACAAGAGTGTGCTGGTGTACACTTCTATACAGTCCATGTACAAGTAGAACGTGAGCTACTGTGGCATCGCATCTGTGCGCGGCTTCAATTAGAACCGGAACGGCTGTGCCTTAATGAGCACAAACGCGAGTGGATGGAAGAAACGCTGGCCTTTTACGAAAAGTTTACATGGGACTTGGCAGTGTCAAATGACAACCACAGTGTGGCAGCAGTTGCTGAGACTATCAGTCGACTGTTGAGAGACAAGGACGATACGTTTGAGGCTGTTTACAAGTGTACAAAGCCAAGAGCAACGTCTTCTCACTTATCATCTACTAGTAGCATACTCAGCACAGATAGTGAGTGTGAAAGTACTGAAGGAGAACCAAATGAAAAGGTAGAGTGGAACGACGAGAAGATGACGCAGACGAAGAGCATTATTGCGTTCAACAACATTCCATCTATGGACTAAGAGATATCTGTTGTTATGATGATGGAGGAACGAATACAATTTCCATCTTTATTGCCTCACGTGCTGTGGTAAGTGCAAGTGTCAGGTCAGCCTAAGCTCGTGAACTGTGACAATAGTTTAACGCCTTCAAATATAGAGTTATGCATGTCTGTTGTCTAGATATGATCCTCCTCCTTGCCTATTTATGTCGAATGAACACTTTATAGACGTAGAAAGCGGCGTGCGTTTGCTCTTGTGATCCGTGCAATTTCCTCTGGTGAGCAATCGAGAGCAAAGGCAACAGCTTCAGCTACCAGGGGCATAGCACTAGGCACGTTTGGATACTGTTTCTTACTTTCACTTGACTCAGCACGTCGACAATTGGGAAATCCCATATACGGTGCGTCTGTCTCAAGAACGAGTCGATGTCGAGGCACATGTTTAACCATTTGTTTCAGTGCCGCTCCTTGTTTCTTGCAAATAAAACCCGTGACGCCAATATACCAGTTGTCGCCACGTGCAATGTACGCCTTCAGTTCGTCTTCATTCCCTGTAAAACAATGGACAACTGCTGGTGGAAAATATCCATCAAAATTCATAATAGCTTCATCAATCAATTGGATAAAATCGTCATGTGCAAGTCGTTCGTGTAAGAAAAGTGGCTTTTTCAACGCACAGGCCATTGCCAGTTGTTCAGCAAACCATTTTTTCTGGACCTCTGGTGCTGGAAAACTCAGTGAGTAGTCTAATCCACATTCCCCCTACTGCACGAACATTGTCAAGTTCGATCAAGCTTTGAAGCCTTGTTAGTTCCTCTTTTGTTGGCATGATCCGAGCATTATATGGATGTACTCCAGCCGTTGGAAATAATTGAGTTGGATATTGTCTACAGAGTTCAATAGCTTGTTGTGACTCTTCAATTGTAGCTCCAGGTATGACCATTTCCATGACCCCAACAGCTCTTGCTTGTTGGATTAACGCTTTGACATTATGGCAAAGATCTTTGTGTGTCAAGTTGCAATCAAAGTCGAAAAGTTCGAGTTTGGAGTCGAGTGTTTGATCCATTAATATTTGACGAGTTCTTTTTGCTTGGTATTTTATATGATAACGACTTATTTGTAAAAAAAGGTCTAGTATAATGTCTCTCAGATAACGTAATATAATCATTTTCTACTATAGTTGTTGCTGTAATCGATAATACTCTCGAGCCATGTCATGTCAGCAATAAAAAAACGAGACTGGATACTAATGAAGTAGTTACTGCTCCTCCTATGTCATTGTTTGGAATATGTCAGTAGCCAAGTAACTTGCATTGATACTAATAGACTGCCAGGTTTAATATTGTATTCGCATTGGTGGCAAATTTACGGTGTAGAGAGTAACACGTCATTTATTTAGAAGTAACGAAGGCGTTTTGTCCTGTTTGGCACAAGAAGCCTCGATGATATGAGGGTCAGCTTTCTTCTTCTCGTCGTTCCTCACTCACTCATGATTTTTTTTCTTTGCATTGCGCTATGTTTCATACGTGGCTTGTAGCTGCATACACGTTAGCACTGACACTGCTTTCGATGCAGATGTGAGGGGCATGTTTCAAGACAATTGGCATTACGTCTGACACCTATTTCGCCGTGCGTTTATTTGAAACTGAAGCAACGCGCTGCAAGTTATCAAGTACACATTGAACTTCTTACTTTCTAATTGGAATTATGGGCAATTTTGTCAATCATTGAGTTCTTGCCGACAAATGCAAAGTTTTGCTTGAACTCTTTAGCAAATGCAATATGGCTCCAGCACTTCACTATAGCCTCCCCAAACACGCCAAATTACCACAGACTTCAAAATATCATTTGAGATCACAAGCTTCGATCGACACGTGACTTAGCCGGATATCGTACTTGACTGCAAGAATGGGTTCGTAATGCTGTAGAGTCTCAGGCAGAACTACATGCGACCAAGCGAGGCATTACGACGCTCCTCCTTTTCCCGATATGCTTCTACTCCTTCAAGTGGTAAGAGGGACACTAGCCCTTTCTTCTTAATCACTTCAACGATACGTACACAACCACATCTTGTAATGCCATCGTCAGCCTCTTCTTGTTTGCTCCGGTTTGTGAGAATATCCAAAAAATGCAAGTCATGCGAAATTATCACCACGGCACCTTGGTACTTTCGCAGCGCCTTCCTCAGCATTTCAATAGTAACCATGTCCAAATGGTTGGTAGGTTCATCTAACAGTAGCACATGCGGTGGGTTCGGCAATGTAGACCATGCCAGCCCAACTCGGACCAATTGCCCCCCCTGAAAGTGCGTGAAGCGGAACCGAAACAGCAGTGTTGCCAGTAATGCCAAACTACTCAAATGACTGCGGATTTTGCCTTCATTTGCGTTAGTGGCAGTGCATACCACATCGTTTTTCACGAACTGAAAAGAAGCTTCATCAGATTAAAGTCCAGTGCGTAGCAGTTCCAGTGGGGCGAGATCTCGAGACCACTGCTGCCGCTTCAGATTTTCAACGTTATGCTGCATCTGTGATGCAACTCGTGCTCATGAAAGTAATCGACCTGGCCATGATTAGGTGTTAAACTTTTGCTTAAAAGCCTCATGAGCGTTGTCTTGTCGGCACTGTTGCGACCCACAAGCACCACCTTGTCCCCATAGTTAGCTGTGAACTTGAGATTTTCCACAACGAGTGGTGGTTTTGGCTTGTTATCATCATCTTGAGTATTTACTGGGGCTAATTCGTATTGGAACGACACATTCACAAGCGACAGCATTGTGGTATTGTCAAGCTGAGTGATGTTTCGAATCTGGGGTGGGGTACTAGACAAAACTGGCCAAGCTGAGCTAGCACTATTGCCGCCCTCAGTCTCATCATACGTAGCTTGATCCTCGGCCTGGTCACGGTCGTAAGAAAGTATCCTGCTCGGTCGCGGTTCAATTTGATCCTCTTCAGGGCCAACGATGACGTATTAGCTGGGCCACATACGGAATCATTACAATCGTCAAAAACCTTCCACCATTCGTGTGCTACTGCAAATTGACAGATATCAACGATTGAATACGTCCACTTACAAATTAACCAAAGCAGACAGCAAGAAAGCAATTTTTGTACAACTATAAACCACGCAAGATGAATAAATTGTCTCTAATCTGTGAGCTATCGAATTTATGCTAGCAATGATCTTCCTAGTTGCCACCTGTAATGCTATCTTGGATTCTCTACTGCAACTCCGGCCCACAGATTTCAGATCTTGTTGAAACCAATTGTGCGTAGAACCCTTGGTCTTATCATAGATCGTAAGTAATAAGAGATTGACCAAAAGCATAAAGGAAAGAGACAAGTTTGCGTAAATGTATATTTTTAGTATAACGTCACATATCGACCGGAAAAGCAAAGAGTACGATAACGCTGTTTGCCAGCTTACATTGCACGTACTCATCATTCAGTAAAAAATTAAAAAACAAGCAATAGCTTTCTGTGTGGCTTGAGTCCCAGAGAACCAAGCTGTATCACGTTCTCACCGGTGGCGTCTTTTTTGCAGGTACGACTTTACCTGCACCCTTCCTACTTGAGTGTTGGCTGCAATTGCGACGTCTGCTCTAATAATCGGTCTACCATTGTCATCTAAATGAGCCTTTCTCCAATTTCCTTCGCCTGTGCGCTGTTTCCACAAAATATTGCTCGTCCATTCCGGATATTTAGCGCTGTATCTGATACTATATCCGTGCCAAAATAATAATTCTGACGAAGGAGAACCAGAATTTCGATAAAGACCTCGCTTCTTGTACGATTTCAAACCGAGCGCTCTCCACACCATGTCAGGATTAATTTCCTTATATTCCTTATGGTTCAGCCACTCATTAGTTACTTGTTCCCAGTCCTTAGCCTTAAATGCCTGTTTTATTGTTTGTTTGGCTTGTTTGCTATCTAATCTGCTCACAACCTGGATGTCTTCGTTGATCGGCGCTCTATTTTTACTCGAAAAAAATAGGCTGAAAAACGTCGAGAGCGGTCCCCTTTCTTCTTGCTCAATCTCCTCGTCGGTTGTCCTGTCAGATCGAAGGTTCCGCTCTATACTTGCTTCGGTAACATCAAAAGTTTGTTGAAGGCTTTTAGGTATAGCCACAGAGGCAAACGCTGGAACAGCATGACTGTCGAACAGCTTTATTGCTGTGAGGACAAGAATCGTGAAAGCCCGCATGCCTTGGACTTTTGTGGCAATGCGTGCAATTCAAATGTTTGTGTTCTGCTCTAGTTAAGCTAAAAAGAAATGAGTTGTTTGAAAACTTCTTGAAAAATACAATATTTCGGCTTAAACGCATCGTACGTCTATTTGAGGTTTCTCAATTACATACATATGCTGTTCGCCGTGCCTGCTTGCATCGATTTTACTAGGTAACAGAAGTGTCGATTCTTTCCGTATCTTAAGATGGAAAGATAGTGCATCATGGGATCGGTACAAGCAAGACAAGGCAATAATTGACTTACCTAAGTCTACCGCCGCACAAGCTGAAGTATATTATGGACATCCGTGCGGGAAATGACAGCGTAGCATGATCGTATGCTGCTACAACGCTTCACAGTCAAGGTTTATCTGAATCCGTGTTCTTTTCGTTTTAAACCTAGTGTCTCTCTCATTAACCGCGATCCTTTGCTTCTTCGTTACTTTTCACGCCATTTCGTTAAGGCTTTGTGCTCAACTTGGCGTGAGGAGACACAAAGGTGTCGGATGGTACCTTCATCTTGCTAGCCTTACTAAACAATCATTCACATGTCCCTTTACACCATGGTAATATTATATACATGAGCAAAATTATATGACCTCGCAGTTTATACGATATTCCTTTCGTGATTATGAGAGACGAGAGGAATATCGTGAAAGAGCCTCGATTTACTGCTTAGTACAAAATTCCAGGAACGTCCATAGCCGAGGTAAAACGCCGGTGCGGGAGGGCGCAACGTTGTGTCAGAACACTCCTCAGTAAGATGTGCGGACCCTGGTGAGTAGATTGTAATCTTGATGCACGTGTAAAGTGGTGCCTCGGATGACAGCTTCGCCCTGTGGTGGTCGCGTCTGACGACGACTTCGAGGTGTCGGGCTGTCTCAGTGCGGAGTAGGTTACTTCCTCCCGCGCCGTCATCCGTACGTCGCGGACAATATTTGGTTGCAAGATGGTGAGTGGTAGCGCTTCAAGGTTTGCTGAAGTCCCGTTTGCAATGAGCGCACGCCAGTCGGTTAACGTAGACCGACAGGCTGTCGGTTGGAACCGCTGGAGGCGCGGCAAATGACACGAAGTTCGATGGACTCCACCTCCACGTAAGATATGTTCCATCAATTTTCCAGTAAATCCTAGTGCTAGTCTGCGGCAGGCAGCAGGAGCTGTCGCCAGCGACCGATGTCCTGTCGAGCTCCTTTCAACCACGCCCGGGGCGGTGACCAGCCGAAGAGAAGCTTGCGTAAATGGCGGAGCTGCCAAAGCGTGGGGACACTGGCTGCGTTGAGAGACACCACAGCCTCCAGCTGCGGCGAGACCAGAAGAACAGCATTTGCCAGCGGCGTAGCTTGGGTGGCGAGCGGCGTGGGGGCATGGTGGAAATGTGAAGGTGTATTTTGTCCGCCCCGTTTGCCTGATGTCAAAAGTGTTTATGAGGCCATTGGCAAGCCAGTTGTAATAACACGACCGCAGCTTAGAAATGTCCGGGCCTAAGATCTACGGGTTGTCCGCCCACAAGAATGAACGACTAAAAGTACCAACTCATTAGTGATTTTTTGCCCTGCAGGTGGCGGATCCATGTGGTCCGTTTCCACAGCTCTTTAGTGGCTAATTAATCGTCGAGAATGCAAAAGTAGTCGACGCCGGGCCATGGCAGTTGCCGGGGCTAAGGCGCAAGATATGTTTCCAACAAAACGATCAACTTGTATTTGATAGCGCAACGTTTTTCATCGGATAGATCTTCGCGGGATTCCGTGGTGAAGTTGATCCGGCCGTTCGGTCCTTGCCCGTTGTCGTCTTCGGTCCTTGCCTCTTGTCGACTACATAATTTACACACTGGGTATTGATCCGATCGTACAGCGTGCTTCTGTCGCTGTGTTTTCTCCGCAACCGGGGTAGAGACTAACTGACACAGATCTTGCCGGTCGTGGTGCAAAGAGAAAGCCAGGGTTAATCTTGTGGTGGCCGTGTTCAGAATTAGTGGAATTGTTCGATAAAAACTGCTTATAGACGTTTTTAAGGGCGCTGAGAGCCCAAAATCGCAATATTAAACCTTTCTCAATGATGCCAAATCATACATGTACGTAGCGAAGATTCACGGCGAAGTCCTGGCCCACAAGAATGTGCCACCCTGCATCCATTGACGACTTAGAGACCGCTTTGTCTCAGCAAAATCATGTTGGCTGCGTCAATTTACCTTCGACTGCACAAATGGAATTATGTGTACTAAAGAATTTGCATAACTCTACACACTGATGTTACAGCAGTTCATGAAGCTTTTAGTCAACAAGGAGCTTTTCATAGTTTTCGAAACTGCAACGACAACACATTAATAGTTGTAACGAAGTGATACGAATCAAACGAATACTAACAGCTTTTGTCAATTCATTAGACACCACACGTTGCTTCATTACTTGCCCTGAATTACTTATACTACATCCATACGGGGCAAAATATGTCCGACTATTCTGTCATTCAAGTCTTGATGCTTTGTCTTGTCATCACGTCGGACTTCGTTGCACGATTGACGACTCGAACCACTACCTGAACCACTATGTATTTACGCAAATATTCAGGACTTGATAGTATATAGTATTGACATCTTCTTCTTAATGCTAAGGTAGTATTCTTGTGTGTACTCCAGTACCACTGACTTAATCAACAACTTTCACAATCGCACTCACGCACACGGGTGACAAATTGGCATTTTTGAGCATATGCACGACATTTCATAAATTGGTGATTCTTTTATTGTGTAAAACCCATCTTCTCTCTTGTGAGCCAGTCATTCTTTTCCATTCAACGACCTCCCAAAAAAATAAATGGCTGGCGATGCCGTTATGCCCCTTGTAGGCCGGAAAATGATGAGAAAGCTAGGTGGTATAGCGAATGAAAATGCAGCGGCTGAGATTTCAACCTTTGCACGTCGTCAGATGGAGATGATGGGCTGGTCTGCTGGCAAAGGTCTGGGCAAGAATGAGCAAGGCATTACATCGCACGTCAAGGTAAAGCGGCGAGAGGAGCTACAGGGTGTTGGTGCGGAAAAAGAGGAAATGAAGGAACAGCAGAACCAATGGTGGTACAATGTTTATGACCGCATGGCTAGTAAGATTGTAGTCGACACATCATTGGAAGAAGTGGATCTAGACAAAGAAAAGAAGAAGACGAAGAAAGTGGTGAAAAAAGATAAGAGAAAACGAAACGAGAATAAAGGAGAAACATATCGAATTCCTACAGATGAAGAGCTGTTTGCTGCAACAGGTGGAAAACTTTTTGGACGTAGAGCGTATGGATCTTGCAATGGAAAACTTCGACGGGATGAGATGCAGCTGAAGAAAGCAAAGACCCAAGAGAGCCAAGCACCGATGACAACTACATCTGGTATTGGTGACGTTACAGAGAACGAAAAAGAAAGAAAACGGGTCAAGAAGGAAGCTAAGAAATTGAAGAAGAAGAAGACAAAGAAAGCTGTAAGTCTGTGTTTGACCTGCTGATAGTGTGAATGTCAACTGTTCCTCTTTGCACTTTTGATCTTACTCGTTCAGTGTAATGGTTGTGATGCACAATGTAATCGTCACTCTTGTTTGCCTTGTGTGATTATAAATGTAGGGAAAACGCAAAGATTTGTGATAACTTGCAAGACAACAATATTGTGGCTTGTCATACGAGTAGTAGTACTTTGGCTTCTACAACTCGATCGTTAACTCCTTTTCTCATAATGGGTTTGACACTCCTCAGCAAGCATGTAAATGGCAAGATCAAGTTGCTGTGTTGTTGACATGCCAATGTCTTGACATCAACGATATCGACAGCGGAAGCGTTAGCTGCACTGGCACTCCGGTTGCATATGTGTCACATTTCAAGTGAACATGCAAAATTGAATGGCGTCAACGCGGCAAGAATGATCAATCACCATTTGCTTCTATGCAACAAAAACTGCTGGCACACTTTCTCAACGAAGCAAGACCGTTATAAAGTCTTTTACATTATTACATCCACTCGGATCGGTGAGCTAGCTACCCGTTATGAAATTAAGTTTGACGAGTTTCTTATCCCATTCCTATTGACGCACAGCATGTTACGTACTACTGAAATAAGCGAAGAAAGTTATATTGTTGAAGTGCTGAAGCAAATACTGAATGAGGCTACGGTTACCTATGATCGTTTTGACTCGAGCGCTCAATCTGTGGTGCTCACAGTCATTGGCATAGTCAAAAGACCTTGTTCCATTCAACTCTGCATAGACGACAGACGCATCCAATTGCGATGAACGAGTTGAGAACGACAAATTCAATGAATGTGGTCTTAAATGCCTTGGCAAAGATGTCAAGGCTTCCGCATTCCAAGTCAGTGAAGCCAAGCAAGATCAGTGAAATGAAGACGATCGTGAGTGCTTATCGTTGTTTATTGAGACCTACACTTCTGTGTGATAGAAGTGATGCTAAAAGACTTGTCATCATCGCTATGCCTTGGCGTGACTAGCTTCTTTCGGTTTCATGCTTGCTTGGTACAAAGTGCCGCTGAAAATCTTGTGGTCTGCTTACTCCTTCACGCTGCCGCGCGCATAGAACTTATGCAGCAACACTTTGAAGCTAAGACACAGCGAAAGAACTTGAAGGTATTTGTACCTGTCGAACTGCAGATTATTAATCATCATGAGACTTGCCTTGACCCCAAAGGGCTGTCAATTGAGCACGTAAAAGGTACCACTCCTTTACGTAGAGTATGAGCACTACTCCAGCAAAGCAAAGTGCTCCCACCGCAACATGCACCATATGTCGAAACATCAATGAACTATCCGTCTCGGAATTGAGCAATACATGCTGAGATGTCAAAGTCACTGCCAACGAGATTACAAATGCAGTCACCACAAGTCGATCTGGTAGAGATTGGCACCAAAACGATAAGCCATTGATAAAATCATTGCTCGTTTGGCGCTTACAAGCTACTTGACGAAAGTAGGAAGCCAAGAATGCCAAACAGTAGAGGATTCGGCAGCCCATATTGACACAATTCGCCAGGATGAGACCAAAAGTGCCCCAGTCGAGTACCTGCATGAATACAAGCGCACTAAGCGCGTATATGGCAAAAAATACACCGAGCAACTTGTTCAGTTGCATAAGCTCGTAATCGTTTCCAATAGCATGCACCACAGCTTCACAAATCCCATTCACCCCCAAGAATGGAATGTAAGCGCAGTACACAGCTAATGCAGCACCCACACCCTGACGAGCCTTCTCAGCTCCGTATAACAGCATTGCTAATGTGTATGCGTAGCTGGTTCCAAAGCATACGAACAACAGTCCCACCAAATTCATAAGCTTAAGCAGCACCAGTAGCAGTGTCTGTCCATCGGCTCGGCTTTTATTGTTAATCTCCTTGTCATTTTTTTGATCGCTCTTCTGTTTCTGCGCTAGTGCAAGCTTACTAAAAACAGTTTTGGTAGCTTCTTCAATAGGCAAGAAAACAATTCGCGGTACGAGCGATCCTAAATTTGACACCAGGCCATACACCCCCATTGCCTGCAGCGATGCAAATCCAGTCAGCACCCACTTATCTCCTTCTGCCAGCAAATACTTGACTCCACTTTGTACAGTCAGTGGTACCATCAATGCCATTAACTCTGCATGATACCAATCTATATTTCCGTCCGGCTTCCCAGGTAGTAGCTGAGTCATCGTCGTCAACGCAAACTTGTCTTTTTCACTTGAAAGTACATAAATTCGTCGCCAGTATAAAACCATAAACATCACGAGCAACGTCACCGCGTACGACAACTCGGCAATCCCGTACGCTATCAAGTTTAACTCCAACATTACGACACCCATGTACTGAACCACTGCTCGGACCAGAAACGCAGCACTTTGAGCCGCCACTTGCCAACTCACTAGCACACTAGCATGCGCTAATACGTACATTGGTTCTGCTAATGCTTCAATCATTGCAGCACAACAATACATGCTCAATACGGTCACATATCCTGTCATTGTTTCGTCATCTTTCAAAGTGTCTGAAACCATTATATAGAGAAATAAAAGACTTGCCACCATCCAACTAACGACAGTTGATAACCATGCAACATTTACTAATTGTTGTAGATAAATATGTTTTTCATTGCTTGGGCCTTTAAAGTCAAGCGATGGCATTCGTAAAAATGCCAACCGAAATCCATCGCGGAGTAGGAAGATGGAAGCCAATACTAATTCCAATTGAATCGTTACCGTACCAGTCACATGAAGATGTAACTTACGTAGTACAAAGGAATTAGCGGCAAAGGTTATTAAACGCTGCAAGAAGCGGTAGGAACCGCCACGTAGGGCACGAGAGACGACGACTCCATTAGGAGAGTTCATGTGGATGCGTTGCTTCGTGCAACGTAAGATGTCAATAGTTGCAACATACGCATGTTTTTGTCTCTGTCCCTTGTAAATCAATCAAATTTTATTTCTACCGGTAGCATACTGACATTAATTACCGGTATAAATAGAAAACTATCGCACAAAAAAAAAAAATTAAAAAAAAAAAAAAAAAAAAAAAAAAAAAAAAATTTTTCATTTTTTTTTTAAAAACTTTATTTTATTTTTTATTAATAAATTTTTTTTTTTTTTTTTTTTTTTTGTTTATTGTTATAGTTTTTTTTTTAATAATTACATTTTATAGTAGCGATTTTTTTTTCCAATCCTATTATTATAAACTTGAATAAATATTACTTTTCTTTTTTTTTTAAATTCCAAACAAATTTTTTTTCTATTTTACATTGATACAGAAAGACGAACAGACGGTCTTTTATCAACGTTATAGTTGGCAGGATGTTTGAAATGCCTTGAGTTAAGTGAACGTCGTGGCCGAAAAATACGCTCGGAGGTTGTTAACCACAATATGCTTCTTTTGACTTTATCCATCAATGCGTCTACGGCATCAAACCTGGACGGGTCCATGCGTAATGCCGTAGCAGCCGCTCAAGCGGCCCGTTAAGCCACAGAGCACCTGGACAACTGGGCGAATCCTTTTCACTACTGATGCGGTCTAGAAATTGACTTGTGCGACCATCGCAATTATGACGCGTAATGCAAGGACGCGGCCAGCCGATAACTAAACTTCTCCTTACTGACCACTTGCTCGGCCTTCTTTGGCATACATAGCGAAGCCGTCGTTTATAAAATCTTGCTTGCGCAACCATTCCCTTGTCAGCTGATGAGTCCAGAAACTAGTCTAGCACGTATTCTAATAAAAAAAGAGGCAGACGTCTGCGAGCAAAAGCAAAACGCAACCCAGAAAAAAGTGGTTATGGATGCTAGGGACGCTAGAGAAAAAAACTGTCTTCCGTTCAGGCTAGCATTTACGCTCTTGTCGTAGTGCACACCATACTCTTACGTGGCTGAGATGTGCAGTTTGGATGAAATGATCAAAATGTGCTGTTGCTGGCAATATGTAGACCTCCGTACGCATGATGGTAGTACATATAGTACGAAATCGCTTACATTAGCCAAACGCTTGATGACAACTGGGTAGCGTACATAGTAGTTCCAAGTTAATAAGACAAGGATGTGTGTAATTTCAGTCGTCGCTACACAATCGCTCAATCTGTATCTTGGAGGAAGAAATGATCTGCGAACGGTATAGAAATAGTAGCGTTTTAACATATTTTGGTAAGTTTCTAAGAGACTGTCAGTGGGAGTATTGAAGCTCAGCACATTAGCACCCTAATTGACTGCACGTGTCATCAAAATGTTGCCAATCTATGTAATACTTGAAGTCTATGAACGAGCGGCTCTTTCATCATCAGAAATCAGTCTCTGAATGCAGGTCATGAATCCATTATCTATTACTTGTCATTTCGATATTTACTCTCTCAAGTGTCCAAGTATCCATTTACCACGCTTTCTACTCGTGTCGGCAGCGTTCACTTACCTCGTATATTGTGAAAAAACAAGTTTACACCAACGTTTGAACCAAAATGTAGCACTGCTAGATGCTACTGAATCCCGTGATGCACGGACCGTTGATGGTCAAAAGTCTGTGCGACTGCTGAAAGCAGACAGTGCCGATGAAAAAGATGATGACGAAGCATCAAAGCAAGAACGAAGCTATTTTTGGTCGAACCTAAGGGCTTCTAAGAAAAGGGAAAGTTTCAAGGAATTGATAGAGGCATTGAGTGTTGCAGGGACGAATGTGAAAATTGCAGCAGAATTGACCAAAACGGAGGAAGTTGCAAAGAAATTGAAGGAAGCAGAGACAGAGGAACTGAAAAAACTTGTGGAAAGTGCCGTAGCGAACCCCTTGACTCAGAGTTCGACAAATGGGCTGCATCGAAAATTGAAACACAATCCCTTATTAATGTGTTGGCTGAACATGTGACATATAGTAGTAATAAAGGGGAATGGTATTGTCAATGGCTACCTTAATTTCCTGAAAAGCAAACATTTAAATGCTAACAATGCACTAAGAACTTACTCAATATGGAATTGATGCTAACGTTTTGTATTCATTCTACGTAATATCAGAATATAGTCAAGGATCATGAAGACAATATAAGAAAGGCACAAATGGAATTGACAGCGTCTCTCTTGTGTGAGATCTCGTCTAGTCAAGTCTTGAATTTTTCGTCTACACAAGAGCTTGAAAGTGTCATTCTGGACTAAAACGCCTAATGGATTACTGTTCAAGGAATCAAGAGTGGGTGCGATTCTAATCAACAGTAGGACACAGATTGAAGTTCAAGACGTCTTTCATGCTGACGAAACAAGAACAAAAGACCATACAACAATTTACACGAAAGCTGGCGATAGCGTTAAGTGCGTGTGGAAAGTTTGTAGCAATTGAAGATGCAGGTGTATTATCTTTATATAAGAGCAATGAAACACTATTATTTGGACACGAGGTGATGCATACACATGACTCGGACAGGTATGTTTAATACGTCTTGAGTGTAATTATCTGGTTCCTGTTAGTGTGATATTCGTGGTCTTTTGTGTTCATTGCAGTACAGTCTGAAGGTTGAAGCATTCGAGAATAGGTCGTCGGTTGTTGGAATGACTACCATAACGTAGTGGTAGTGACGTTGCGGGGACTCTGTTGCGATTGGGGGATTAGAAGTTGGCAGACTTTGAACAAAAGCTGTTTGAAAACGACAAGGATGTTTCGAGTGTGATTTTGAGCCATGTGCAATTCCAGAACGTTGGTCAGCTGATAGAGAACGCTACATTTTGTATGCTGGTAAGACGAAATGCACAAGTATTTGCGATTGTAGTGTGACAAAGGCCCTATTACTTCTAACCGCATGGTAACCTACGTTGCATTGGTGTCATACACTTTTAGATACATCGCTTCCAGTCACAGAAGTACATGATTCTTGGTATCATGCCGCATTTATAAGTGTTTGGGTGGCAGGCGTGAAGAATCAAGACGATCGAATGGAAATTGAGGTGCATGAAAGCGTTTTTGAAACATATTTGGAGATTGTGGGCTGACAAGTTTTTTATTGCGTAGAAAGTATTAATGTGCGGCTCTAGATCAAGTCCTATCGACGCAATGACTTTTGATGTAAATTGTAATTTGCTCGTGGTTCTTTCCGATGGTAAACTTCCTACAAAAATCTTGTGCTATTGTTGACTTTGGCTTATGTACGCGTGCAAAATTATCCGATAGGTGGAAGTGGCGTGACATGACGAAGTTGTTTAACGCGGGTATTAAGTTGTGCCGTTCTTGAAGCTCGTATTGGTGCAGAGGACAAACTAGACGTTTCAGTGCTTGCTATAGCGCGCGTTTTGGAGGACGGGTAGTCAAGTTTCGAATTGCAACTGGTTCGAATCAACGTTGTGAACCATGTAGTGCTTGTCAACTTTGGATTATACAAACCAAAACGGATCGCACATCACAGATGGTCTGTGTTCATTGATAGTCCTGCACAATCTATCTACATCTATAACACTTCATTCAATATTATTAACCAAAGAAGGTCGCACGGGAGGACCTTGGGAGGTTGATGTGACCGTACCTAAGGTACGAAGGGTCGCATCGTCGTGGTCATTATACTTAGTTTAAGTATTATGAATACATACCTTGTAAAAATTAAAAAGGCTACAGAGCCAGATAAATAGTGACTAGCACAAAGTAAGTGTTTCTATATTGCTGCTAGATGTGATAAGCCATATATAAATTAGTTTATACCTGCTCTGTATGGCATTCGTTGCTACAGCTCTATTCCTTTGTGAGAGGAAATAGTATATTACGTCTCCAAGAGCCTAGGGATACTAGGTTCTTGGAGACGTCGTTGTTTACAGCCAAAAAGGCATAAGCTTGTGAAGCTAGCTTTGAGAGGGTTAAGAACTCTAAGACGTATAAGCTTTTTGAGCTTGTCTTCCTCTGCACCTGGTGCGTAAGTAGCTTTGCTACAAGAGGCCCTGCTAAACCTGGTAGCACTTGTAGTCAATCTTGCACCTGGGTTTGCGACTACTTCTCTGTGTAAGAATGGACATCGATGAGATGTCAGCGGTTGGCCTGTCACAGGCACAACAGGAAGGGTTGCAGAAGCTGCTATCTATACTTGGCCCTACGAGCGTGGAATACCTCATCGCCCAGGGCAAAGAAGAGGTTGACAAGCGTATTCATATGCTTGATGAATATATTAAAGCTCTAGTCGAGCATATAAAGACACAAATGCCTTCTTCTGCGCCTACGCCCATGGCGACTATGGCGCAGGAAGTGGTCCGCAGACCAAAACCCATACAAATGGAAGCCGATAAGTTCGACGGCAAAAAGGTGATCACCTTATGCTTTGGTTCCGACAGGTTGAGTCGGCTATGTTTATAGCCGACATCACCTATGGACCGTACCGTGTGGGCTTTGCCACGGGCAAGCTGAGTGGATTAGCCAAGTAATGGGCATTCACATGCGGTGCATTATTGCAAGATACATTCCCAAAATGGGCCGATCTGAAAGTTCAGATGACCCGGCAGCATGCACCTCCAAGCCAAGCACACCGTAACCGGTCGCGGTTTTAGCGTGTTGCCAAGGCAAGCGTGAACTTGCGGCATATGTGCAAGAGTTGAGGACTCGTATTGCCGCCATGGTCAGTAAACTTATGTCTGAGGCAGTGACCGTCACGGTCTTCATGGAGGGCCTCCGAGTTGGCGTTGCCAGAACGAGTCTTCCGGGTATACCCGTCCTCATTCGAGGAAGCTGATGGAGTGGCATGGAATGACGACGAACGCTAAGGCCGCTAGGCCTGCCACTTATAACTACTCGTCTGATGGGTCTGTTTCCATGGACTGTAGTCAAGTGGAGGATGAAGAAGCTGAGCTTCAAGCTGCGGAGCAGCAAATTGTACGCAGATGTTATATCTGCAAGAGCACAGGCCATTTGATGGCAAAATGTCCTACAAGAAAGGCATGTTTGACCTCGAAGGGCCGGCGACCCATGGGTAAACCCTCTGGTTTGCCGCGGGGAAACGGCGGAGCACAGTAGGCGTGGGGCGCCCTAGTGGAGAAAAACTGAGTTCTGTTGAAACTCTAGGATGTAGAAATAAACAGGGCCCAGCCTCAAAGAGATCCGAGCTCTCAAAAACGGAACAAGAATGCGAGCCATGCTTGCTAGTCGTCGAAGGGACGATTAAGGGCTATGATAAGCCATGGATCATTTTGCTCGATTCGGGGCATCGGGCAATTATGTGCGCCGTGACACCGTGGAAGTTAGGTAGCAATATGCTGAAGCGCTTAGAGACCATAAAAGTGACACAGTCACACTTCGCTTAGCGACGGGTACGCGTGTTACGGTACCCAAAGTCCCGATGGACTTGAATGTAAAGTTCTTGGACTTTAATAGCATGGAACGCTGTTTGGACTTAGACCTGGATGCGAGGTATGACCTCATCCTAGGAATGGCATGGCTAGAACGCCATTAGCCATGTATTGATTGGAGGTCGAAGACTTTAGGCGCTACGCGTAATGCTGCTGGTGGGGATCTGGATAGTCATGAATCCACCTCTGGTAGAAAGCAAAAGCGCTTGTGGCGCGAATACTGGACCGAGTCCGTCAATAAGCTGGATGTCGGAATATCCGACTTTGTAGACACTGTGAGTGTCGAGGACAATAGTCCTGGGCGAGGCCCAAGGACTGTCGATAGTGTGGTTGAGAACCCACTAGATGGCACATATGACATGTGTCATGAGAATGATGTTACATCATTAAACACCGTGAGTAGTATTGGTGGCTGCAAGCCAAGATGTCAGGACATGAGTCCAAGTGACCTGAAAGACAAGGAACTGACCCTGGAGGGCCGGGTGAAGCCACAAATGGATGTTGGCTTTGGGTACAACGAGGTGCATGCACCTAACGACGAGGTACTGGCCCTGGAGGGTCGGGTGAAGTCATCAATGGATGTTATTTTTGAGTATAAAGAGGTGCATGCACCTCATGACAAGGTACTGGTCCAAGAGGGTCGGGTGAAGACTAGCATGACGTTTGCCTTTGAGGACAACGAGGTGCAAGCACCTCATGACGAGGCATTGACCCAAGAGGGTGAGGCGCAGTCCTAAACGAAGTGGTCTTTGACCTTGAGGTGTGGACACCTGTGGACGCTGATACGTCAGATGCTTCGAGCATCATGAGTAGCGATGAGGATGTTGTGAGTAACAGTGATAGCGAACAGCTATATACACTCGTCAATGGTTTAACTGGGGATGTTGAAGAGCCGGTGACTCTTTCAGCTATATCCGAAGTAAGTGCTATGTTAGAGCAGACGAGTTGTCCTTTGCCGAGTTTGGCATTGCCTTACAGGCAGGCGACATCGCCGAAGTGGTCATTATACGACCTGAGGAGGAGTTGACCTCCTCATCGCTTTTGGATAAAGCTTTTCTTGAGGATACCGAGAAGGCGCTGAATGCGCGTAGTGTATCACACATCCTGAAGGACCCTTCGGATCCTTATTTTCCTTTGTTAAAGGAACATGGGGATGTTGTCTCCAGAGAACCTCCGACGAGGTTGCCTCCGGATAGAGGCGCACGTCATGAAATTGACTTGGTTCCAGGAACGAACTTCTGTGTGACGCGACAGTGACCGCTGCCACGAGAACAATGTGACGTCATTGACGAGTTTTTTCGTGCGAAGCATGCGACTGGCATGGTGCGTGAGAGTAGGTCTCCTCACTCTACGCCCACGTTTTGTGTGAAAACGCTTAATGGGAAGCCGCGAATAGTGCATGCTTACAATAAGCTAAATGCAGCCACTATCCCGGCTCAAACACCGATTCCTCGCAAGGACGTTCTTCAGAACAATATGGTGGGATGTACGATGTACAGTGACTTCGACTTAGTCGATGGATATTACCCACTGCTCATGCGAGCTAGTGATATCCCGCTGACAGCGGGTAGTACTCCGATCTGTATGCTCTGAGAGTGGCTAGTGATGCCATACGGGCTGTCTAACGCACCTGCAACATTCAATCGTCTGAAAACTGTAACAGCGTGCACCATACACATCCTGCTAGGTACGATCTAGCAGTCTCTGTCATAAGTTGACTTAGCTAAGTACATATATTACATGATTAGGTATACGCTGTACCCGATATAGCGGGACAGCATTTGTTGATTGGCGAAAACCAGGCCCATGGTCGTCCAATAGGATGTGACCTTTATATTGAGTGGCTCTCAGACATTTGGAGACCCCTTGTGCTTAGAATAAAATATAAATACAAAAACAGAGTTAAATTTGGTATTAACTAAACACGCGTTAATAATAACGCGTGTTTCTTAACGGTTCTTTGTAATCCCTATCGTGTAAGTCACGTAACGGGTCCTTGATTGTTACTTTGTAGAGTTTCTACGAAGATGAGCGCTCTGCCTATCCAGGGCGCTGAGGGAGGGATGCTGGATCATGATGACTTCCAGCATCTGATCTCTTTCGAGTGGGAAGCCATTCGTCGCCTAGTGGTATACCGTTGTCGCCATGCTTAAGAACATGCCTGAGCGGCTACATCGTGTAGCCATCCAGGACTTTGTCAACCGCGAACTCGCCGATTTGCGTCGGAGAGCCTTAAATCCCGCGGTTTTCACAGGGTCTTACGTCGTCAAACTCGACGTCTCGTGCTATAGCAGCGAAAGCACGAAGCGCCTTGCACTCAATCGATGGCTTTGTGAGGTAGACATCGCTGTCCAAGCCCGTCAGCTTAATTCAGACTTTGCACGCACCCACTTTCTCTTGTCCAAGTTGACAGGCAAGGCAAAAGTGTGGGCGCTGGTCAAGCTTGTGGCCGACCCGGGATGTTTCCCGGATATAAAGGCCCTCAAGGAAGACCTACGCCTGGCGTTTGAGTCTCCGCAGGATGAGCACCATGACCGCTCGGCTTTCTTGGCACTGAAGCAAGGTTGCCTATACTGGATTATATCCAGCAAGCATGACATCTGGCGTCCTGCAACTTCACTAATTCAGTCGATACGGGGACGCAAGTCTACGTGTTCGTCACGAGAATGAACGCTGAGAATCAGCGTTTTTATTTAACGCGGAAGCTTTCTACGTCGCTTGAAGAGACGTTTACTTCGCGTTGCGCGACTATGATATCATCGCCTCGCGTATGCAACATTCTACCCCCCCACTAAATATCCTGAACCAATGGAGGTTGATGCGATCGAGCACGCTACATACTCTCGACTCGCTCCGAACGTCGGATTCTA